ATGGACAGAATGTTGACTCCATCCGCCACGGCTTGATCAATGGCTGATAGAATATCGGAGCTGAAGCACCCACCAGTCCAACAAACCTTGTAAGGGGCGACTCTAGCGCCGGGAGCCATCCCACGAGCAGTTCCGTAAGCATAACCGAGCAGATTCGCGCCGTGTACCGGCGAGCCAGCGACTGTGGCTGCCGTGTGAGTGCCGTGCCCGTCCTGGTCCCTCGGCGACTTGTACTCCGTCTGCTCATTGATTTTGCCGGTGGCAGATTCGTATCCGTGGTAAAAGATCCTCGCCCCGACAATCTTCAGGTTGCAGTGGCGCTTCTCGAAGGCCCTCCCAGTCTCGCATGCTCCTTTCCAGTGAGCAGGCACGGGCGCCATGCCCGTGTCATTGAAGCTCTCGCTCTCTGGCCAAATTCCAGTGTCCAGGACTCCCACCACAACGTCATGGTCCAAATTCTTCTTGGACCAAACGTTGGTGCTGTCTTCGCGGTCGAGGCCGAGGAACATTGGACTCCTCGTCGTGTGCAGTTCATACTTCTTCTCCGGGAAAACAGCAAGCACTCCATCTTCTTGCTCCAGCTTCTCGGCCTCATCGCCCGTCAGCCGAGCGGCGACTCCATGAAAAGCCGTTTTGTAGTTGTAGATGATCCTCTCTTCATCACCCGCATCGCCATGGATCTCCTGCAGGCTAGAGCTGGAGACCACCGACTTAATCATCGACGAGTACCAGTCCAGGTGATCGGAGAACGATCCGGGCATCGCCGACTTATCCATCTGGACAATGTAAGTCGTTTTCGGGGAGCAAATGACAGAGCTGAAGTGCAAAGAAGTCATTAACACTAGAACGAGAAGTAGCCATTGCACTGGCATTGGCATTGGAGCCATGATTTGCAAGAGAAGGTGGTGATGCAGAAGAGGAAGAAGGGAGGGGCGAGGAGGAACGAGTTAAGAAGGCATGGGGAGTGTGCCGTGCAGATGGTAATATTTAGTGCTTGGAGTGATGATGGTGGCGGTGGAGGGAGGGGACCTTTCTACAATGTCATACCTTTTCTGGCAGCGGCAGAGATTATTTAAAGCTGGTTGGTTCGTTTCATGAATGCAATTTTCTGGAGTACAGTAGAATTGGGGAGGGACTGCCTGGCGGTGAAAATTTATTGGGGGATATGGTCCCGTTGTCCTGTCAAACCTAAACACCCCTCAAAAGTTAAAGGAAAAGAAGAACGAATGACTAAAATAGTGAATGATGATAAAAGTTCATCTTATTATAAAGTGGTGAACAGAAGCTAATTATGATGTGATTGTGAAAAATAGGCAATGTGGGAGAACATGTATTTCTTTAGTTCGGTATGGCTTTCGTTGCTCGGCCACAAATAAGATTGCTTTTTATATATATGTGATCTCCCTTCATCTATGAAATTGAAGCATTTGAATTGAATTTTCTAATACCCGTGTTTATAAAAGAGCCCACTTTGATCTATCGAGGAAACATGTGGATATATTGACAGGTTGGGACGGTTGGTCGAGTCTCTCTTAGGGGGACCCCAAAATTCGTAGGATGCACATAATCTCTGTCAGACCCGCCATTCCATGAAGCGGCACAACATGATCCCACCATTGGTTGTTGAGGCATCCGCGGTGGGGTTTGCTCTCCCGGGTTAAAAGGGTAGTTGATCTTAAAACAATCAAAACACGACTAATCCAGTTTGAGATTTTCTTCGAATTCAAAACAATCGGTGATGGTCTTATAAAATTCCACAATATCGAAACCACGCAAAAGCATCACTTGTAGCCGGGAAAAAGAAATTCAATTTCTCTCTCTCAACCTCTCAAGTTGAAGGATAGGAAAATTATAAAAAAGTCCTAAACCCATTTCACTTGTGCCTCAAAGAACTCCTTAACATTTTAATTTGACCAGTTAAGTCTTAAATCTTTTGATAATTTACCAATTCGGTAATAAACCTTTCAATTGTGTCAATTTAACCTTAAACCTTTGGATGATTTGCCAATTTAGTCATTCCGACCAATTTTGGTCAGAAAACGCTGACGTTGACAATTTTTTGCATTTTTTAAAACTTTTTTCTGAATTTTTATTCTTTTCTTTTTTCTTTCCCCCTTTTTTTCCAACTCTTGGTCGACAAGGGCGTCGAGGTCGCCAATCAACCCTCGCCTATGGCTGGCGATGGTCAACAGGCAACCTCAATGACCAAGAGTTGGAAAAGAAAAAAATAAAAAAATTCGGGAAAAATTATAAATTTAAAAAAAATGCAATAAATTGTCCATGTCGGCGTTTTCCAACTAAATTGGTTAAAGGAAAAAATTGGAAAATCATAAAAAATTATCAGGACTAAATTGGCACAATTTAAGGTTTATGACTTTTTTGATAATTTTCCCATTGAGGGACACATGGATTATTGCTTGGGAATCGCCTATTGAAACTGAGCCAATTTCTTCTTATTTTTTTTCTTGATGAACAACTCATTTGCCAAAATAGCAATGTCGGGTATATTAAGATTGGTGGAGATCACTAAGTGATACAACGGATTGCAATCGAGTCTTAGAACGAGCGGGCTTAGGGGGCTAATCAATGGTTAATTCATTGAAAAGGATATCTTACGGTCAGTCTAGTTAACGCTTCAAAAGAGGACCAAAAATGGCAAAATACCGTAGCAAGTCAGTCATGCTCTAACTAAACAATCAACGTTGAACCTTATCCTTTTCGCCTTCGCACAAGCTAGGATGGCCCTCATCGTGGAGTAGCAGAAGCTTCCTTCTCATAGCTAATAAAGGAGAGTGCGTGCCTTAATCCAACCGATAACCTAAATAGGTCGTATTCAAGCGCTCAGTAAAATCATGTCTCATCACTTAGTAAATCAATTTACTATTCCTCGCCTTATTCCTATGCACAAGGTTATTACTTTCGTACATGTATGTTAACATGCTCCTTCTGTATCTTCGTTTTTAGTACGCTTTAGTGGTATGATTCGATTCCAAGTTAACCAGCTAATTAACTGTTTTCTATAATCAATAGAGGGTCATGTGACGAGGCTCCCACTATACCTCGCAAGTTACGTTGGCAGGTGGTCCAGGAAAAACACCTTTAGCCCCATTAAAGTCATATGATATGACCTTAATTAATAGGCTTAGAACAAAACATCTTTTCATCGTGGGAAAGTAGTTTGGTGGGTTGCTAAATCTCTTTGAAGATTACATTTCCCCCTAAGATATAAACTTGAAGTTTGAAGTGATTGCACATGGATTGCTGAATATCAAGCTCTCTATTCTCCAAATCTTGCACTTCATTTTTCCAAATTTTTTTAAGGGAAAACACCAACAAAAATCCCAAACTACGTCACTTGTGACAAATTTATCCTGAACTTTTTTTTGTGACACGAAAAACCCCAAAACTATACCACTTATAACACATTTACCTCACAATACTTAGGCCCAAGGGCGTTTTCGTCTTTTTCCTTTTTCTTTTTTTTTTTCCTTTTTTTTCTTTCTTCTCTCTTCCCTAGGTTTTTCGTGTCACAAAAAAAAGTTCAGGGTAAATTTATCACAAGTGGCATAGTTTGGGGTTTTTGGTGGTGTTTTCCTTTTTTTTAAATCTAGTTGATGATGATTCATACTTCCCATCGACAAGAAGGTATATGAGTTCAAGAGGGCCGTCCCGACAAAGGTCGTAGGGGGCAGTGCCGCGACGTCGGAGAGTTTTTATAGTTATGGTCCGTATTTTATTGATAGTTTGCACTTGTGCCCATGAATAGCTACCTAGTATATATAATCTCTTTCTTTTGTAATCGAGAGTGGCAATAAAGAGGTAAGATGACTAATTATAATGGAATCCTCTCTGAATGTAGTACTAGTTTAAGGGTGAACCAAGATAAATATTGTGTCTCAATTTCTCTTTCTTGTCTTTATTCTCTATTTCGTTGTGTTTGTGTGCTAATCCTAGCAATAGGGGGCGTAACTGAGTCAAGTTGCTTATGATCTACTCGAGTTCGACGAACGGATTACTCAAGTTCGAGAACAAATTACTCGAGTTCGGGTCAATTATTTTCGAGTTCAAATAGATCAAGTACTTAACTGAGTCGAGCTTGAATTTCAAAATACTTGACTCAAGCAGCTTGTAAGATTAATTGAATAACTGCAATTTTTTTTTCTGTATCTTAGTTATGTTTAAGCATTTACAAATAGATAAAATTATTAGTTCTTCACTGACAGTGTATTTCAAAATTCGAGCTCTTAATTTGGAATTTAACTTGAGAGTAAAATTTATTGATTGATTGAGTCGAGTCGAGTCGAACTTGTGCTTGAAAAATCAAGTTCTATTGCACCTTGGACATTAGAATTGAAACGAGCTCGAGCATTGAATCGTGTCTACTCGACTCGACTCAGAATTCCGCTCCTATGCCTATTTCTTTTAAGAGTAATCTGACATGACTCAAGTTCGGGCCCGGTTGCTGAATTGGAGATCAGAACATTTATGTGGAGCATATAACTCCACTGCACGGTCCGCACTAGCTAGATAGCAAGGACTCACGTGCAATCACCACCACCGGCGATTGAATTTCGGACCGACGGTACGGGGGTCATCAGATCATCAGTTTCTTCCGTCACAGTAATTCATATACATCCAGGTCCATTCCACTAGAGCAATTTGATAGTGTGATGGCTGGTCAATCGTCAATTTTCCTGTCATGAAACCGTGACGGGTCAAAGAGTATGAGCAAATTTCGATAGATGGATTGAGATTCGCCGTGCCGTGTCATGTCGAGTCATCCCTATTGAGCATTGAGAAGTTGACATGGATTTTTGAGTTCTAGGAGAATTAGAATCCATTCGTTTTGCCACACAACATTTCGATTTGTTGATCCGCATTGCACCTGCTAAGTTTTTACCTTTAGCCTAGTCAAAATCACATTTATGCGTAAGCATATCCATGGTGGTCCGAGCGCGAGATTAGGTCCTAGATAGAAAATGATGTAAACAGTGACACGATTGTAACAAAGTGAAATGTGGTCTCTCTTGCGGTCACCAAACATTCATTATCTTCATCAACATGGACCTTATGCAGAAATAAAATGTTCCATCAGGACACTCATTCGTTAAACAATCGATCTTATGTGAGAAGGAAACCCTCGTCCGTGACTTTAATTCCAAAAAGTGTCGAGAAAATCTCCCTGAAAATGACCGACAATTTAATAAAAGTGTGCTCGACTGATTTGAACGTTGACAGTCAAGTAACGACAACTTCATCGATGGCGACCGGGTATTCCTGAATACAGGAAGCCCATGGACCCTTCTCGGACTCGCCGAGAATCGGCCGAACACATTCCAGGATGAGGCTGATGCACTTGGGCCCGCTCCCCATCCCGAGCTGCCACACCTTGTCCCCTTTCTTCACTCTCTGCTTGGCCTCCATGTAAGCCAGCTCGTACCACAACGACGACGACGATTGGTTCCCAAACCTGTACAGCGTCATCAGAGCAGCCTCCATGTCCACCTCTCCTAGCTTCAGCCCCTTCGCGATCTCCCTTATCACCGGCCGCCCCGAGGTCGGCAAGCAAAAGTGTTGCACCACGGTCTTGAAGTTGGGCACGTAAATCTCGCACGACTTGTGGATGAACCTCTTCCGGAAGACCGAGAGGCCGTGCCAGAATTTCTCCGTGAACGGTAGGACTCTCGACCCAAGGAGCGTCATGTTGGACCGGAGTGTCTCTCCCGCGACTTGCAACAAGTCCCGCTTGAAGACGACCCCGAGTTTCCCATCGGCGTCCTCTTCGCGGACCGCTGAACAGTAAGCTTTGTCCTCGAAGGCTCTTTGGGTCCTTAGAGAGTGGACGAGCTTGTACTTGGAGGCGTTCTTGGCTTTCGGCTTGTTGGTGAGCAAGATGGCAGCGCTTCCCATGCGGAAGAGGCAGTTGAGGAGCAACTTGGGCCGCTCGCGGCCCGAGTACCAGCCGGTCGACAAGATCTCGGTGCTCAAGACGACGGCGTACGAGTCCTTGTGGACTTTAAGGAGACTCTTGGCCATGTCGACACCGAGAGCGGAGGCGCTACAGCCCATGCCCGAGATGTTGAAGCTCTTCACATCGCTCCTCATGGAGTACCGGTTGACAATGATTGACGAGAGAGATGGCGAGGGGCAAAAGCCACTGCAGTTCACTATGAGTATGTCGATGTCACGAGCGTGCACGTTGGTTTTCTCCAGGAGGTCGTCCAAGACCGGGAAGAGCACCATGTGGACTTCTTTGATGGAATCCTGGAAGTCGGTTTTGGGAGGAATGTAGTGCAGTTGTGGAGGGAGGTACGTCTCTTCGCTTTGGCCTGAGGAAGCGAGGATCTTGGCCATGAAGTCGATGCTCTCCCGGTCGAAGATGTTGATCATCGACGCATGTTCCAAGAAGGAAGTGAACGGGACCTTGCAGGAGCTTGGAGGCTTCAGGCACGAGAAGTCCACGAGGTAGACTTGGTCGGGGCCGGAAACGAACCGTTTGAGGGTGAAGAAGGCGACGAAGCAAGAGAAGAAGAGGTAATGGAAGACGGGTGCCCATTTATGGAGGAGAAAGTGGGTTTCAAGTGCAAGAAGGGTTGCAAGGAAGGAGAGTCTCACAAGATCAAGAAAAATGGAGACAAAGTGCTTTGAGATTGATGGCCAAAGAAGGTCGTGGTAATGGTCATGGTCATCATCATCACCAAGCTTGGAGAGAGAGTCCATCAGATCAGACTCAGAGTAAAATGACTGAGAGAAGCGAGAGTGGTGGTGGTGGTGGTGGTTTCAGACTTGTGATTACTCGAGGGATGTGAAGGATTTAATGCCATGCAATGCATGGACAGAGATGATGTTTCCCTCTTGAATAAATAGGGGTTTAAATGAGTTTCTGCGTGTTGACTCTGCCTAGTAAAATCATTATTTCTTTTCTTTTTTTTCCTTTTTATAAGAATTATTGCGGTTGGCAGATGCGCCCAACTACTACTTCCGACTTAATACCTTCGAGCACTAAAAGCTTATAAATGTTTTTGTGTAGGCTCATTATGTTGGGAGCACGCAATAAGGCCCGTTACCTTGTCCGGGAAGATTGTCAAGAGGGAGCCTCAATCCTAGAGGTGTCAAAATGGATTTTAAACCCATATATGACCCATTTAAAAATAAATGGGTCATATATGGGTCACTTTAATTTTAAAGAGTCAACCTTAAATTGTCACGCCCCGAACCCCGTGGCGCACCACATCCCTCGCAAAGGTCGATTCGATGCGACATCCCAGGACGCGTCGCCGACCCAACGCCCAAACGACAGAGAACAAGACACAGCGGAAATATCAAACACCCAAACAATAATTCACATAACCAAGGATAGCCGCACAACCATCAATATAAACAAATACACGCTTGCATTGCCAGGGAGAACCTTTACAATATTCATATACATCATGAACCTCAAAAATCAAAAGCGGGTCAATGGCCACTACTATCAAAAAGGGGTAAGCGGCCCGGGGTCAGTCTACTACTTAAGGTGGGGCTCCGGTCAAAAAGGTACTGGCCCTACCAGACTGAGACTAAAGCTAAGCCCTACGGTGCCCAGTCCGGGTTGGAATCAGAAGACCCCGAGGACGAAGAGCTATCAGGCATCTCCTCCTCAGAATCTGATGAGTCCGACTCTAACTCAGCCTCTGCGGCCTCCTCCTCAGAGTCCATATCCTCAAGCTCGGCCTCTGGTACGGGGTCCTCCTCGATCGGCTCCGATTACTCATCATCCGGCTCCATCGGCTCCGGGACAGCGTCCCCGTCAGCTAGCTCCAAGTCCATCGGATCGGGCTCATCAACCTCGTACTCTACGGGTACACCATCAGAGCTCGCACTCTCCTCAGCTGAAGAACCAGGATCAACCACCTCTCCATCGAGGCACCGGGGGTACCTCGTGCCCAACCCGGTAAACGGGACATCAAAAGTTCGGAGAGGACCATACTCTCCGAGACTGTCCCTGAAGCACCAAGTTACATACTCGTGGGTCTGATAATATGTTTCCCCCACATCCACCCATACTAAAGTATAATGCCTAATGCACGACTCCCCGTTCCCTACGGGGTGTACCGTCCTCGTCCGCTCTATATGATGCGGAATCCCAAAACGTACCGGAACTTCAGGCATCCTCAGGGTCGGGGGTCTGAAAGATTGGATTTACACAACAGTGAGAATAAATCTCAGCGAGTAGGTTCCCTAAACCTAAACTAGGCTAACATGCACCTCCTGATGAGCACTAAACAATCACACAAGTCGAAACATAACTGACTCAGGCCCTCGGGCCCAAATCCAATACTTACTTGACCCTGCAGGTTAGGCACTTCACAAATTCACAACAACAGCACAGGACTTAACCATGGTACATATACGAACATCACTCAGCCACGACGCATGTCATGCATATGCTCGTGCTCACACCCATGCTCAAGCTTCATCAATGCATTTCGCACTCTTGCACTCTTGCACACTTGCAATTTATCAATTCTCCTCCGACCCGCGTAAAACGCATCAGGTCCATCACTTCGAGATCAATCTTCGGCCCGCGTAAAACGCATCAGGCTCATGACACATAACCCACATAAAACGCATCATGTTGGTTATGTTCCGGTAATCCGGGCATCGTCCAGCGTAACACGCCTCAGGACGGGTTCACTACCCTGCGTAAAACGCATCAGGGCTTTATGTGATCACTCATTCACAAACACCAATTGTTATCTGAACCCCGCGTAAAACGCATAAGGGAATTTTAGGTGATCACACACGCGTGTCATTCGTGCACACTCATATATGCACATGCCATGCCAATGCTCGAGATGTACATCCATGGCCATAAAGTTCACACTTGGGCACTCACGAATTTCACAGCGAGCATTCAATTGCATAACGCCACATATTCGATTCACAACACAACATGCTCACTTCGATGAATCACAAGCCCAATTAATCAAATCATCATTTCCAGCCATGGCACAACTCGGCACAGAATTTACGCATATAAATCACACAATTGGACCAACATGAATTTGCGCACTTGAAGCCCCCCAAGCTACTCCAACCTTAGTCACACTAGGCACATAGCATGGCATCACAAAATCAATCACAATCAAGGACAATTCAGCCACGAATTCAGTCAGTCCAACATTTCCGGTAATTACACCATTAAACCCCAAATCGATCGCACCTTGTCCAATTAAATCCCGGTACTAACCAGCCACAAACAGTCCGTCTTAGGCCATCAAATCACTTCTAGATCATCCCATTAGACCACCAAAATTGCCATGAAAACAGCCACCATGAGGATCACAAATTTCACCCGCCAATTCCACAATTTTGCTCGAATCAATGCGCCCAAGCTCAGCCACCATTCAGCACACCACAGACCACTAAACCTCGATTACAACATCACGCTAAGCCACCAAATGCACCACAAAATCAGCCCCTAACAGCCTCCACAAGTTAACCCCTAAATTACCCTAATTAACCCCTAAAACACATCTAGAAACACACATTAGCCTAATTATGATTTAGGGTTGTACTCACTTGGAATCCTAGGCTCCAAACAAAGCTAAACAAGTGGCAAGGGCGGCTGGACAGCGGCGGGGCAAGCGACGGCGACGGGCGGCCTTCATGGCGGCGACACCGGCGGCAATGGCTTGCGGACGGCGTCCACGGTGGGGGCTGCACACGTGGCCGAGAAGGGGAGGAAGAGAGGGAGAGAGAGACGGCTGAATGGTGGTGGCGAGGCGAGGTGAACGGCGGCACACGGCGGCGGCGGCACCGGCTCCGGCGAGCGGCGGCGGCATGAGGCCGGGAGGGGAGGAGCTCGCGGGAGAGGGGAGAGAGGAGAGGGGGAGTGACCGGCTGGCTTGGGTAGGGGGAAATGAAGGAGAGAGAGAGAGAGACTAGAGTGTTTATCCAAAATGGCTTGGTGGGGTGGTTGAACCACTCTTGACACAATCACCATCGTGTCCTCAATCTAAGGGTAGAGATTCATTCCCTCCAAAACATCTAGGGGCTCAATTGTCCAACATACTCAACATTATTGGGCTGAAACAACTAATATAAAACCCCCAAAATATCTCTCAAAATTCGGAACCCTATAATTAAGCCTAGGGGCAAAACGGTAATTTTCCGGTCCCGGGTCAAATTTCCAATTTTTGACTCTATCGATCCCAAATATGCGTGGCCACATAAAAATGACGTCGTCCTTGAAAATTAGTCGCGCACGCCCACGAAAATCGACACCGAAGTCCGGACTAAATTCCACGATCGATTTAACTCAATTTGCAGTTTTAGCGTCTCTCACTAACGGGCGGCTGTTTAGGGGTTACACGTATCAACCTAGGGTTACTCGAGTCATGACGGTCCCGATTTCCCAGAGAACACGAGAATTTATCACTAGTCCCAGGGGTCGCGGTCGTCCGGGGTAAGTTCGGGATCGTTTGCCGTGCGTACTCTCGGTCACGCGGAATCACCCGCTATCCGATCGTACGACGTCGGTCAAACCAAATCCGTCACTCCCCTTAGACCGGCCCTTGTCGGCACAAAATATTCCCTCGTCGCTTCTCGGAATCGGACTCGATTCACGGTCGAGTTCTTGGGTCCACGCACCGTTTTCCTAGTTAGCCATTCCCTAACGGTCAGTATCCCGAGAATGTTCAGCTCCGGGTGAGACTCACTAAAACAAAATGAGAAATAATCATCTATTTTATTAATCCCGGAAGTGGGTCGAATTCAGGACGTTACATAAATGGGTTTTAAATTTTAAAGTTTAAAGATAAATGGGTCTAAATGGGTTGAGTTTGGAACCCATGTCCAACCCACCCACTAGACCCATCCACACACTCTCTCCCTCTTTATAAAAATGTTTAAAAAAATCGAAATTTAATTGATTTTCTTTTTTTTTTCTTTTCTCTTCTTTCTTTTTCTTTTTTTTATTTCGGCCTGTGGTTGGCCACCGGGGCGGGACGAGCTCGCCAGAGGTCGGCGAAGCTTGAGCTCGCCGGCCTCGGGCAAGCTCGACCTCGCCGAATTTGGCGAGGTGGAGCCTCGCCCGAGGCTGGCAAGGCTCGGCTCGCCTGAATCGGGCGAGCTAGAGCCTCACCTGTGGTCGGTCGCCAGACACGGCGGACGGCGATCGGCCAAAAATACACGAAAAAGAAAAATAAAAAATAAAAAATAATTAAAAATTCGATTTAAAAAATAAAAAATATTAATATTATTAAAATGAATGCACAAAGTAAAATCAAATCAGATTTTATATACCAAATATTGAAAAATATTTTCTAGTTTATTTTCAGGTTTCAGCCAAACGTCAGAAATTTTTTTATTTTCTTGGATAATGACTTTATGGAAAATATTTTCTAGAAATGTCGCATTTTTCGCAAAACAAACAAAACCTTAATTTTTAAAAAAATTATAAAAAATTTTCACTATTTTTGTATTGCATAAAATGTTTTAGCAGTATAATTTTAAAAAAAAAATCATAAGAAACAAGTATTCCTAGATTAGGTTAAATATAAAAGTGTTTTAGCAATATGGGTCGGGTCGGGTATGGGTCGGGATATTTACACTACGAATAAATGGGTCATAAACGGGTTAATGGGTCAATTTGGATCGGACCATTTATGATCCGACCCAAACCCGACCCGACCAACCCGTTTAACAGGTCTACTCAATCCGAACCCGTCAATACATCTACACTTTCATTCAAAGATTTAAGCTAACTCGACAATTTGATACACATTGGGAGTATGACACCAATCAACCAGCTGCTCTGATATCATTTGTTAG